TATTCGGAAAATTTCGCGCTTATAAATCCAAGGAAGATGAACAAACTTTTGAATTTGTTCATGTATAATAGCTTCTAAACATTCTTACTCAAATGTTTTTAATTATAGTTTATCTTCACAAGTAAAAATTAAAGTAGGTTCTGGTTCGTTCAAATTCGAAAGCGAGTATATCGATGTCGTGCACCTTGAGATCAGAAAAAATTTTTAGTAGATATTTATATCAAATTGCGACATTTTAAAGTTTGAATTTTCCCATGATGTTCACGATGATATAATACAATTATTAGTAATATAAGGTTACAAAATTATCACAATATTAAATAAAACAACTACCAACACTGAATTCAGGTGAGTAATAAAAAAGATTGATTAATTCTATTTTGATAAATATTTCCGACAAATTATACTTTTTAAATTTATTACACGTGAGCTTGCATTTATATGTATAATCAATCACACTAATTGTTAAAGCCATAGTGAATAGAGAATAGAAAATAATGTATAAAAGAACCATTTTGAACTACATTTACTGGTTGGCAATCAAACTTTTGAATTTCACTTAATAACAATAAAATTTTTTTGAAACATTTTTTCGTGCATATAATAAAAATAAATTTACATTTTATTTTTCTTGCTTTAAAAAAAAGGTACACATTATCATTATGGCTGAACCATATAATGTGAGTATGAGCGAAGAACAACATCCCATTTTCGAACGAGCAGAACAAATGGTTGGACATGCTGCCGAGCAACTTGAAAGCGCAAAGGAGAAAACTCGGTCGTTATACAACACTGTCAAAGAAACATTCTCCCCTGTCACCGAATCAGTTAGCTGGATTCAGGATAAATTTCCACCTCTCGCTTGGTTCTTATACGCTGCTGCCATATTGAATGCAATTCCCGTTGCTTTCTTTCTCGGATTTCTGGCCGTTACAACGTTGATCGTATTCTCGATAGCTGGCGGTGGAATCTTCGTGGTTGAAGGTTTCTTTTTTTTGCTTGGCTGTGGTGTCGTACTGCCAGTAATTGGATTTGCAGTATTTGCAGCGATCATTGCATTTGCCTTCGTATTGCTGGCATATGGAAGCTGGAAATTGTTTCTGACTGTGTTTAGGCTGCTCGGATTCACGTTCCAAGAAGCGAAGGTTGAGATAGCTGGGACAGCGCAAGGATTAAAGAGAGCTTTCTCTCATACTAGAGACGAGGGTGAAACTTCATATGGTCATTAATAAATCATGATTTGTTCATATAATCCATTAAATCGATTTCATTTTATACAACACTTTTTTTCTACTTTTACATTATTTTACCTTATATGTACTCGAATATAAAGATAGCTTCAAGACTAAATGATTTCTACGATGGTGGCAAAATAAATTATGTTCGCTAAACTATTTGTCAATTTTATTAATGTAAATAAAGAATAACAAATACTTTGAGGAACCACTTGAAGCATTTCTTTTAAAAATGGTCAAACATGATATTTTACCGAAATTTATTAAACACGTGCTTAATTTTTGCTAATTACGTACAATTGGCATATTAAAACGAAATGGGTTATAGTTATATAACACAAATTTTAAGACTAACGCTAATACTACAAAGGCGAATTTTGGTATAGCTTGAAAACAGTAACGCGCGCGACTTTCATTATCAAGTTCGTTATATCGAGAGTGTCTTTGTATCGCTATACCCTATACTCCAAGCTGTATATAACACTTTTCCAGAATTCTCAGTCTTGAATTTCCCAATATTCACCAAGTATATTTAATTTATTCACGTTTATATTACAAAAGCATAGACAGATACATTTATCTAGTAGGTTGTCAAAAAAAATAAATTACAAAGGTATAGCCATTCCGACATCAATATTATCTTCCGAAGGAATCTTCCAATTACTATGTGGCTCTCTAGAATTATTGATCAAAAACACGAAAAACCGTAACGCCATTTCTCTCATCCAATTGCTAGCGCCAGGGACGATCTTCTGCCGACTAAGAACATAAGTGATAGCTTGATCTTCAGGCTTCGCTTCCGGTTTTAACGAATTTTGTTCAGGATCAATAGTACGAATAACTTCTATTAGGTTTCGAATAAAGTCGTGTGATTGGGAGATAGGTTCCATGTATCCATATCTTGCGATAACTTTGTAAATTCCGGCATACTGCCTGACTTTGCGTACTACTAGTCGATCTTCTTCACCAACATATGGTACGGCGACCGGTCGTATTGAGATAAAGATTAGTGTTTCCGGAACAGCTGGAAGATGCTGAATAAAGTGACTAAATGTCAATGGGACGCCCAGGCCTGAATCTTGATAAAAAAGGCCGATTCCGGGCAATCGTTGTACTTCTAATCCACTTCCTAATAATCGCAGTTGTTTTCTTTGAGACTGCCGTATCGTGATTGTTGTAGATGTGATTACGGTAGATGTGATTGCTTCATCTTGAAGATTGACGTTGCTGATTTTGTTGCTTGCAGAAGAATTATTTTCATTTTCCGACGACGTCGTTCCCGAGTACTCATCATCCATAAATAAATCATCAAGTTTTATTTTATTTTTCAATTCGTATTCCACTCGAAGAGTTGTACCCCATTTCCAGATGCCCATTACACTCGCGACAACCAACGCAAAAGCTAAGGTAAACCAACCACCGTCTGGTATTTTTTGCAATGTAGAGCTTAAAAATGCGCCATCAATTAACGCGAAAATCGATAAAAAGGCGATAGAAAAAACTTTGTGAAATTTCCAGACGGCATGAATCACAATCTAGTATATATAGAGATACATATATCGATTAGACTTTTGGAATTAAATTATTGATAAAAATAATTTAATACTTACCGTAAGTAAAAATGTAGTGATAAGCATGACAGACGCGACAGCGACACCAAATGCAGTTGTTAAGTTTGCTGAATGTTTGAAGGTAATAACAACTCCCAAAACTAGCACCATCAAAATCCAATTAACTATTAACATTAAAGAATAATTATAATAAACAATTATTTTAATTAATAAGAGTAATTAATGCACATAAATATTGAAGTCAATATTACTTACTCTCTGGAATATAAATTTGTCCTCGATGATGACTAGATGTATGAACAACCTAAATTTTTAATAATTTTAATACAATTATTATATTTGAATTCGAGATTGATCGCATTCTTTACCTTTACTTTCGGAAAACAGTCCAGTCGCATTGCTTGATGAGTTACCGTAAATGTAGCAGAGATCAATGATTGAGATGCAATAATAGTAGCAAGAATTGCAAGAATAAAAATGAACCAATAGATGAACCCTGTTTGAGGAATAGTGAGCCAAAATGTATTTGAGACAACGGTTGGATCATCAATAATTCTCGCGGCTTGACCCATATACACAAGCACCAAAGGCGGATAAACCATTGGAGTAAACGACAACTCGATAGCGCGTCTATTAAAGTGTCCTATGTCTGCATAAAGTGCTTCAACTCCGGTGAGCGCAAGTAAAACTCCGCCAAGCACTTCAAAGCCTCGATGGCCATTGCGAGTAAAATAATCAAACATGTAATAAGGGTTATATGCTCTCATTACTCGCGGATGTACGGTGATATTCCAGATACCGATCAAAGCAATAGATACCAGCCAAAGAAAGATTATTGGTGCAAAGCATTTGCTTACTTTATCTGTGCCATATTGTTGTCCCATGAAAAGTAACACTATAATAACACTTTAATATGGATTTTTTTTAGCTTTAATATTACAAGTCTAAAAAAGAAGGTAAAGTTAATAAAATTACCAGGATAGCGGAACCACAGCTTTTTCCAAATTAGGTGCTTGAACTTCCATTCCTTCGACCGCGGAAATGACTGATATGGCAGGTGTGAGCAAGCCATCACCTAACACTAATGAGGCGCCCAACATGACTAGAATCAGCAAAACTATTTGAACTTTTTTGCTTCTCTTGATAAAGTTTGGTTTATCTTTATTGCTGGATATAGAGACCGCATCATAATTTCCAATAGTTAAATCATCCTTTCTTGTTTCTCCGTGAATTACAAGACCAGAATGACTATTTTAAATTTGGAACCGGTAAATATTTCAAGTGTATATTTTGTAGAAGATATAGAATTTATAACTTTTACCGTGCCAATAAAGAATAAAGAGCTAATGTTCCACCTTCTCCGTTATCGTCCGCCTTAATAACAATCAACACGTATTTAACCAATGGAACAATTGTTCTTATTGAAAAAAGAAAGAGAACGAATAATTGAATTCAAAATTTCTTTCTTTATGATTGATAAGATCATGGCATGGTTCTCTTACATTGACCATATAATAAGGGAAAGAATTCCTGTAATACGTCAATTGTTCGATTCGGTTAATCAAGAAATACATGTATCTCCGAAAACAGATAAACACACATACCAATTACATCACGTGAGTCCGTTGGAGGTGTATCAAAGATACCAGAGAACACATACAGTGGGGATGTGCCAATATCACCATAAACTATGCCTACATGATTCGATTAAGACATTTTAGAGAATCATTCATTATACATTATCCCTTCATACATGTAATCAATATTACCAAGTGATTGAAATGCCAACAGTAACGTCGCAAATATTGTGGTCTATGTAGTATGTTATAGAACGCGCGTAAAAAATTAATCGAATTTTCAATTTTTACTTTAGAATCAAGCTAATTTAAAAACTTGCCTTATTTGGCGGCACTAATTTTTTCTCGAGTTCAATTGTATCAGAAGCAAACTCGATATGATTTTTTTCTTTAAGATTATTCATTTTATTTGAGTGTTATTATCGTTATCGTTATTATCGCTGTGATTTTTTTATAAATCAAACACTCAAATATATATTTGATATAATTCAAAATTCATTACGAGAGAGAATATATTAGAAACAAGTTATTAGGGTAACAAAGATTATGGATTAGATCATTAAAGTTAGCGAATTTAACTTTCACACACTCCTGTTATCTATATTTTTAAGTCCATCGCTATAATTGAGTTACATCCTTTGTAACAATACCCGATATTGTTTACATCGGCTATCGGATTACATGTTAATAAATTTTTTATTTGTTGTCAAATGGCAAAAATTGTCCTTACGCCTGTCAAATGTGTAATGATCTGCTGTGTACTTGTTTATTTATTTACATTGTTACGTGTACATCCAATTTGACAGTATCAAAGGTATTTGGTAAAATCCCCGGTCAAGTGATCGAACAAACAAATATGGCAGATATTTCCAGCACGAAGTGTAAGTGCATTTTATGTAATCGGTTGTTAATTTCTATTACTGAAAACGGAATTATAAGACTTTTAAACATAACGATAACGATTATCGTTATGATAAAAATATATTTAACTTTCATTATCGAAAACGGAAACCAACCAATTTTTGTGCACCCGATTATTGGATTTGAGCGAAAAATACCGATATTAGATTCGCCTTGATAAGACGAATTTGAATGGTGATATTTTTGGCTCAAATCCGTCGAGTTTATCATGGGCGTGTGTATGACGTACAGTATTTTTAATTAATAACTGGCTGAATAAACGCCAGTTTCTTGAGTGAATTGTTTTCATAATACGTATTCAAAAATATGGAACAACCTCGGAACAGTCCTCGGGTAAAATATTAAAACAAAACATGACTAAAGACTTTCAATTAACCGCTGCTACTTAACAGTTAAATGTTTTATAAAGTCTATATAAGTACAAATAACCTCTTTAACAGCTGGAGGCTAGTATGATCTGATTAATTGCGACAGATATATTTAACTTTTTTGACGGTTAACTTGTATCCCAGTTTCTGGACGTACCTTTTGTCGTGAAATTGATGCCCTTTTGTCGACTTCATGGGTTTCGCTTTTCTAAAAGATTGATTGTTCTTTCATGTTAATCCAGTTGCCGTAAGCATCATTTTGGTTTATAAACACCTTCAATAATGCTTGCTTGTTGTGTGACAGTCCCAAATACCGTATATGACTGATAATAGGCAACCCCCAAAAATAAGAAACTTTTGGTTTTTGAAGGAAATTACGATAATCCTGTAAATAAGAAACTTTCGACTTTTTGCATCATGCATTTATTACATTTTATAATTATATACTCGGAAGCTACAGATTCACATCAAAAAATAAAATAAAATCTTTTAGTGTTTTTACATTTCTGTGGGTAGAAATGGATATTTTATGGATTTTATCAATCACTATGCTAGTGTGCAATATTGTATCTAGATAAAGAAAAAATTACTTATGAAATATATATATAAAGAAGAATGAAAAATACAAAGCAGTAAGTGAGCATTAACCCCCAACATATAATAAATCAAGAAAGAAATGAAAGCTAGAAACATAAAATAAACATCTTTTTTTTTATTATTGCATAATAAATCGGGACATCAAATCAAAAATAAGAAACTTCCTGATTTTATTTTCGAAATGCCAATTTTCGGGGCTCATATCGATCTACGTTATTAAACCGTGCGATTTTCTATTGTATGCGGTTAATCAAAAAACCTGAAAAAAAACTACATGTTAAACTTTTTATTTAATCGTTTTGTATTTTATTAATAGATTTAGTTATCACTAAATATTCAAAATATAATTTTTTCTTTATAAATTATTAAACATTTTATATATAATATATATATGTTGTGCCCCAATCACAATCGGCCTAAATTAGAGACATTGGACACAACATGATTGTATTAAATTTTATTACATGTACATGCTTATGTTTTACAATTGGATTGGTCAAATTTGCGTATCTTTACGGTTGGATCACGTGATAAAACCTGATTGTTACAATATTATTTAATTCAAGATTGTGCCATGGACCGGTCCAAAAATGGTATCCAAATATCTACATAATTAAATTGCTAATAAATTTTTGTTCAAACTATCTAATTTAAGGAAAAACACCAAACAGGTTATCTGATACACGTACATGTAATTTGTGCTAATTGACAAATGAACTGATTTTAAAAAGCCAATAAGATGATCATTGTATATACACATGTGTACATGCAGTGATTGCCGTCTTTAGCCGAAGATAGCGATAACCATAATGTCAAATTGATAACCGTTCCATTGATGCAGGGTGCATGATTTTTCCCTTTCATCATATATATATGCACCTAAAATTAACGAATCGTGTTTACTTCTTGTTTTTACAGCTTATGTTCGCTGTAGCAAAATTATCAGTATAATGAAGAATCTCGCAGAGAAACATCAAGCTAATGGCGATAACGAAACAATAGACCTCGAGAAAAGTTTAATCCCACGAAAGAAGGTAAAGTTTAATTATTCAACTCGAAGTTTATATTGTATTCTAATGAATCGAATTGATTTAATTGAAAATAGGTCACAGCACTTGGGACTTTTTTGTTGGCATTTCAATCTCTTGGTATTACTTATCATATTATAAATTGGCTTAACATTAATTATTTAGACTATTAATTAAAAAATTTGTCTACTTAGGCGTTATATATGGTGATATCGGCACATCGCCACTTTACGTTTTCACAGCTATATTTAGCACTCCTCCAACGGACCCACGTGATACTATGGGTAATTTTTTATACGAGCTCTTTGTTTAAGATATAAAATACATTAACCAATGGTCTATTTACTTTCTTACCAGGATGTCTTTCTCTCATTATATGGTCACTGTAAGAATATTTCGTTTTTTTTTTATTTTTTTCCAACTTTTAGTTTATTTAATTAATAACTTTTTTTTCAATAAGGACTATTGTTCCGTTAATTAAATACGTTTTGATTGTGATCAGAGCTGATGATCATGGGGAAGGAGGGACTTTTGCGCTTTATTCCTTATTAGCACGGTAAAATTTAGTGGTCTTAAACTATCTATTGTTATACATTTTTTTAAAAGCTAAAAATCCATTTTTTACAAAAGATATTCTGGACTCGCAATTCGTGGAGAAACAAGAAATGATGATTTAACTATTGGAAATTATGATGCTGTTTCTATACAAAGCCATAAAGATACACCGAATTTTATCTATAGGAATAAAAAAATACAAGGCGTTCTACTTGCCTTTGTGATATTGGGAGCATCATTGATATTAGGCGATGGATTGCTCACACCTGCCATATCGGTTATTTCCGCAGTCGAAGGAATGGAAGTTCAAGTACCTAGTTTGGCAAGTGGTGTGGTTCCGCTATCCTGGTAATTTATTTTTCTTCTTTCTGTACATGAAACTAAAACTAATAAAAAATTTCATATTTATAGTGCTATTATATTCTTTCTTTTCATTGGACAACAATACGGCACAGATAAAGTAAGCAAGTGCTTTGCACCAATAGTCTCACTTTGGCTGTTCTCCTTAGCTGCGATCGGTATTTGGAATATCTCTGGAGATCCGTCAGTACTGAAAGCATACAATCCCTATTACGCGTTTAATTACTTTATCCGTAATGGTTCTGATGGGTTTAATGTGCTTGGAGGTGTTTTACTTTGTATAACAGGGGTTGAAGCTCTCTATGCAGATTTGGGACATTTTAATCGACATGCTGTCCAAATATCATTTTCTTTCATGGTTTATCCGCCTTTGGTGCTTGCGTATATGGGCCAAGCAGCGAGAATTATTGAGGATCCAACCGTTGTCTCAAATACATTTTGGATTACTCTTCCTCAAACAGGGTTCATCTACTGGTTCACTTTTATTCTTGCAATTCTTGCTACTATTATTGCATCTCAAGCTATGATTTCTGCTACGTACACATTAATCCATCAGGCTATGCGATTGGATTGTTTTCCAAGAGTAAAGGTAAAAAAAACTTTATCATTACCTTTACTATTGCGATTATTAAATTATTGCTTTTGTGTTATTTTTAGATTATTCATACGTCTCATCATCACCAAGGACAAATTTATATTGCAGAAAGTAAATATTTAATAACTCTGCTTATTTGAAATTTTTGCTAGTTTACCAATTAAATCATTTATTGTTTCAATTATTGTAGTTAATTGGATTTTGATGGCACTAGTTTTAGTAGTCATTATTGCCTTTCAACATTCAGCAAATCTAACAAATGCATACGGCGTCGCAGTTGCCTCTGTCATGCTGATAACCACTTTCTTACTTACAGTAAGTATTGCTTATAATACTCATTTAACGTCGTTATCCAATTATAAGTTTCCAATAATCCAAACTGATTTACAATTACAATTAGACGGCGATTCAAGTTGTATGGAAATTCCACGCAGTTGTGGCTATAGCATTTTTCTTAACCTTTGGGTTAATTGATGGCGCATTTCTAGTTTCCACTTTGCAAAAAGTACCAGATGGTGGTTGGTTTACTTTATCTTTCGGTGCATTACTTGCGACTATAATGGGTATTTGGAAATGGGGCACAACCCTCCGAGTTGAATATGAATTAAAAAATAAGACAAGACTTGACAACTTGTTTGAAGATCATTCTGGAACCGCATCATCAGAAAATAGTAATGTACTCGCAGAAAACAGCACCGCTAATGGCAATGAAACAATTACATCAGCTACAACCACATCAGCTGCGATCACATCAACTACAATCACGATACGACAATCTCAAAAAAATCAACTGCGATTATTAGGAAGTGGATTAAAAGTACATCGATTGCCCGGAATTGGCATGTTTTATCAAGATGCAAGCTTGGGTGTCCCATTGTCATTCAGTCACTTTATCCAGCATCTGCCGGCCGCTCCTGAGACACTAGTCTTTATTTCAATACGACCAGTTGCCGTTCCGTATGTCGGTGAAGAAGATCGACTGGTAGTACGCAAAGTGGGACTCTACGAAGGAATATATAAAGTTATTGCAAGATATGGATATATGGAACCTATCTCCCAATCACGTGACTTTATACAAAAACTAATAGAGGCTATTCGTGCCATTGATCCCGAACAAACATCCTTAAAACCGGAGGCACATCCCGAAGAGCAGGTAGTCACTTATGTTGTTAGTCGACAGCAAGTTCGTCCGAATTCTGGTAGTTGGTTTAAAAAGACACTGTTAAAATGTTATGTGTTTTTATCAAATAATTCGAGGGAGACACATGGTAATTGGCATATTCCCCATGAAGATATCATTGATGTTGGTATGACTATTCCTTTGTGATTTTAATGTAAACATATTGTAATTATAGTTAATTATATTTTGGTTTTGATATTATATTATTTATTTTTATTTATTAAAATTCATAAATTTTAACAAGTATTCTAAGATTAGATATAAATTTATAATATTTTAATATACAAATTTATATGCTAAATCTGATAATTTAAAAAATAAATAATAAACTAATTAAATTTTCAAATTACTATATATAAAATTATTTAGTAAACTAATTTTTTTATAAATTAATTTTAAGTTTAATAATTTAATTCGAATTAATATTATTAATTTTGATATATTACAGTGACGATCAAAAATAATGCATCAGAAACTAAATTTATTAATAAAACAGTGAAATTAAAATTTTCTTCCTATATTAAAATTTATAATTTTATTAAGAAATAATTTTTATTTTTATATCAAAATAAAGTTTATCAGTTATAATTTAACATATATTTTTTTCAGATTTTTTAGATTTTTTCTAAAAGAATTGTTCTAATTATAAAAATTTTTACTAATTAAAAATGAAATTTAATTAATAAAAATTTTTATACTAAATTTATAATTAGAATAATTCTTTTAGAAAAAATCTAAAAAATCTGAAAATAATATATATTAAATTATAACTAATAAACTTTATTTTGATATAAAAATAAAAATTATTTCTTAATAAAATTATAAATTTTAATATCAAGAGAAAATTTTAATTTTTATTATATTTTATTAATAAATTTAGTTTCTGTTATATTACTTTTAGTTACCACTATATTATATTATATAGATTTAAAAAGTTATGAATTTAATAAATTATTAAATATTAATTTATAAAATATAAATAAAATTTTATTTAATTAATTAATTTATTTTGAATAATTTTCTAATAATATTATTAATAATTTATAATAATTGAATTGAACAAATACTAAATTAAATTAAATTAAATTAATATATCTTTTTTATTATTTTTCTTTTTTTCTATATTTATTAATTACTTATAAACTATCTAATTAATACTTATTCTTAGTTTTAAATATTTTATTTATTATTTGATATATAAATATTATATATTTTAATTAATATATAATTTATTTATATTATTATAATAAATATAACTTAAATCAAAATATAATTTTTTTATTTTTCTTTTTATATTAGATTATTTTAAATAATAATAGAATTAAATTTTATATAAAAATATTTTAAATATAATAATATTTATTTATATATGTAAGATTATTTTGTTAATAGTTATAAACAAGATAAAATATGATATAAACAGTTTTAATTTTATAACTTATAATTATTTTTATTATTTAAAAGTATTCAGATCTAAAGTTATTTTACAGAACAGATAGATTATATTTATAATAAAAGAAATGAATATAAAATACAAATAAATTAATAATAATCTATAAATAAAATATATATAGGTTGAACAGAATTAATTAACTTAATTTATATCTCCAAAGAGCAACTAATTATAATCTAATAATTATAAATAATATAAATAATGATATTAATAATAATAATAAAGAATGAATAAAAATATAAAGAAATATTAATAATAAAAAAAATTAAAAAAATATTAATAATCTAAATTAATAATTATAATATACATAATGATTATCTAAGTAATAATATGCTAAATCTAAATATATTAAATACATAATGATTATTTGTATATTCAGAGTGAAATTGATCTTCTTAAAAATGTAATACAAAGCTAATCTGTTATACAGATAGTGTAAAATGAAGATCTAAACTAAAAGAGTTCTAAAAGAAGATAATTCAATTAAAATTAATATAATATTTATATAGTAAATAGCTTTATTTAATAGTATTTATAATTAATTTTGATTTATATAAAAAATAATATTTGTAATATATTATATATATAAATTTATTTAAAGATAAATTTATATATATAAGTAAGAATAACTCTATAATTTCATGTTTATAAAGCTAATAAATTTTACTATTAATATATTATTTATTATTACTTAATAAAATCTCTATACTATATATATTATTTATTAAAATATTTAAATTTTTAAAGTTAATATTAATATTATTAAAAGAAAAAATTATTAAAAATAATATTATAAACTAAAGCTATATTATTTATTATATAATAATTTTTTGAATTTGTGCTAAATTTCAAAATCATGTACTAATATTATTAAGAAACTTTTTATTAATTTCTTTATAATATTAAAATTTAGTTAATTATAAATAATCTCTAATAGTTTTTATTATAATTTGAATCTTTATTAAATTTATATTTGAGATTATTAATTAAATATTCTTTAAATACTCTTTTATTATTATAATATATAGAATTATAATTAGAATATTATAAATATAATTTGTATTTTATAAATATAAAATTATATTTTTATAAAAATAATTCATTCTATTTTATATAATATTTTAAAAAGATTATAAGCTTTAATATTATTAACTTTACTAATTTAATTTTTATTATCTAACTTTTTTTAAATTATTAAAAAATATTATTATTAGAATATTAAAAATTTATTATTTTTTATATTTAAATTAATTTTTTTTATTTAGCTTAATATAATATTATAAAATAAATTTTATTAATAATTTAGAATAATCTAAGTAAATATTAGAATTTTTAGAAGTAAAAGTTAAATTAAATCTTAATCTTTTTAATATAGTATTATATTTTTATCTAAATACTATAATTAAACTTATTAAGATTTATAATAATTTTTATAATATATTTAACAAGAATTATATTTTAATTTTTCTAAATATATTAATATATAAAATATTTTTTTATTTTTTATTAATATTTTTAATAATTTATTGATAAATATATTAAAATTAGATATTTAATTTTATAATATCTTTATTTTAACTTATATATTTCTTAATATAAATTTAATTTCAAATTCTTATATTAATTATATTTTATAAAGTTAACTTTATAATTAATTAACTTATTTAGATTAATAAGATTTTTTTAGTAATATAAAAATATTATAGTATTTCTTTTTTTATATATTTAATATAATAAAAACTTTAAATACTATATTTTCACTTTTAATTATCTAAATTTTTTAAATTTTTAAAATTTTTTTCATAATAAATTTTAATTAAATTTATATTTAAATTTATTAAATTTTTTGAAATTATTTAATAAAATTTTTTCTGTTTTTTATAAATTAAATTTAATTTATATATAAAATTATACTTAATATTTATATTTTCTTGTTAAAAGTTATTATTATCTTAAATAATAAAAAAATATAAAATAAAATATATTTCTTAACAAATATATTTATTATTATAAAATTCAATATTTATTAAATAACTAGATAATTTTCTTTATTTTATTATTTAAAATCTTTTAAAAACTTGAAAAATATAATAAATAGTAAATATATATATATTTAAATATACTAAAAATATTATATTTTAAGTAAGAATAAGTATATAATAAATTTTAATTATATTACTTTTCAAAAATATAATCTAAGATAATTATATAAAATTCATTTATACTTTAAATTATTAATTTTATATTTATATTTTTAGATAAATATATCACTTGATTTTATATTTTTGATTTTAAACTTGAATATTGTAAAATTATAAAAATTTATAAATTAAAATTTAATTTATATTTTATAAATATTTAAAGAATTATAATTTATCTTATGAATAAATAAATAATAAATTATCAGTATTGCATATCTCAAACTGGAAAATGACTATTGATATTATGAAGTTAATTAATAAATAAAGATATTAGATAAAATATCAATTTCAGTATAAGTTATACTTAATTTTTGCAAAATAACTAAAAGTATCTATAAAAAAATCATTACTAAAAATGAAAAATTTTCTAGAAAGTGTGAGTCATAATTTAATATTTTATATTCTGATAAAAACAAATGTATATATTAATTTATAAAAGCTTATTATAAGTGGAAATTTACTTTTTATATAGCATATGATTCTATTTCAGATCAAAATATAATTTATATAATGATATTATAAAATATTTTACTTTAATTCGACTGGAAAATAAAGTTTTTAGCTTATAATATTTATGTTCTGATTTGAGTTCTTATATTATGATTATTTGTTTAGAAAAAAGAAAAGAGTAATAAATCTAGCAAATTTTTATATCATTAACCTGTCAAAGTATTATATTATTTCAAGTATTATATACTTTTATCAAGAAAACTGAGCTGAGTTCAAATTAAATAAATATAAGTATCTGAAAGAATATAGAATATTATTTAGCTTTGTATTCAATTTGATATATATAATACTCATGATTATTTTCATATTTATAATTATGAAATATATAGAATTGATTATGATGAAAATGAAATATTTTATGCAGAACTCTGGTTTAATAAATTTCAAATACAGACTTCAGAGTGTATAATTCCAATTCATTCTATTTTTTGTCAATTTCTCAAAGTAAAATACATATTACATCATATAGAAAGATATATAATTATAGTGCTAATAGATCAGAAATTTATATTCTAATTAAAAATAAAATATTAACATTTTATAATTATGATGATATTAACTTGTTGTGAATAATCTGAAATAATGCTAATACTGATATGTTACTAATAGATTATGTTAATACTAATATTTTGTTTTTTCATTTTTGCATTTTGTATAATATCTTCCTTTCTCACTATATTCTTATCTTTTTTTTTATTTTATGATTATATTCTCAATTTCTTTCTTTTATTATATAATCATATTTTCAATTGCTTTCTTTTACTAAATGATTATGTTTCTAACTGCTTTTTTTGTTATATAATTATGTTACCAACTGCTTTTCTTTGCTATATAGTTATATTTCCAAACTTTCACTATATCCATCTTTCTTTTATTACATGGTCATATATCCAACTTCTTCCTATCATTATGCAATTATATTTCTAACTATTTTCTTTTGCTACACAGTCATGTTTTCAATTGCTTTCTTTTGCTATATTATC